TATATATGTTAAACATTTTAGCAACAAGCATGAATCATATGTATAGACATATATCAAATGGATTAATCCTGCTTAAGCTTGATTGACAACAAGCATGAATCATATGTATAGACATAGAACAAACGGTCTTAAGCTTGATTGACATTAAGATTTTATTGCAACAGGGAAGTTTGGTGTTTTAAACTGATCCCTTACCCTTCAACCATTCTCATACCCCCAAAGGTAGAAAATGCAAAAAGACATACAACCAATAGATGCCCAACAACCTCCATCTCTACTTACATACATCCATACAAAATGAGGGTCACCTGTCCAAGGATTTTGTGATATAGGCATCTACATGCCCAACTTCTTCCACACCTAAAGACACTCATCTATGCTTAGTATCTACTTGTCAATGCAGTTAAACATCAATCCATATATGAATGTATTTGAGCATTCATGGATGACTGCACCATGTTGTACACTACCAGCTTAACTAAGAACTGTGTATTTCTGAATGTAAGTGTAAGCACAAGAATAAGCATGTTCTTTACCTGGTTAGCTACTTTTTGTTCTTGAGCAGGAGACAGAGCAGAGGAGTTGGACGCTCTGCTTGGAAGCAGAGGACACACCAGAGTATCAATTAGGGCTTCAACCGCTTCCTCCATGGGAACATCAACGCTGTCATCCATGTTTTTTCAATTTTTTCGCTACTCCGCAGTGCGTTTTCCCAATGAATAAGAGAGCGAAATAAGAGGTTTAGAGAGAGGAAATGAAAGCTGAGGGGATCATTCCTATCTGGGAAAGGGGGAGAAACTGAAGCATAGAGAGAGAGAAGTTCAGTGAGAGAAAGGGGGAAATGGCGATGACCATACACAGCAGAAAAAGAAGCAGCAGTCCGGAGAAGAGAGAGAGAGCGGGAGAGTGAATAAAGTAAAGCAATTTGAATTTGGGAAATGAGGAGCGGACACTGCCGTTTTGTGTGCTTCGACACGCAGGTTGTGTGAAGTACTGAACCTGTAACTGTGAAGAGAAGAATTTCAAAAGGAACCAAAAGCGAGCAATCGTCAAGCGAGGAGTTTCAAAGCTCTGACCTCCCCCTCTGTAATTAGTTTTGTTCTATAAAAAACTTCTTTCTGTTTTAAGTTCATATTTTATTTTTTAATTCCTTATTTTTCTCGACACGCTATTTTTTTCTTTTTTATGTAAATAAGTAGGATTGGTGCCCCCAATTCAAAAATTTTATTATAATAAAAAATTAAAATGTCATTTTACACCTTCAAAATCCAAAGCTATAATTTGATGAGACGAAAAAAAAAAAAGTTGAACATATGATTTTAAAACTTATGATTTCGAATCTTCGTGCTTCAGGGCTATTGCTTGTCTTCAAATTTTGAATGTCTGAAGTTAAGACATATATCTTTTGGTTTTGGTATAATTATTAGCCGTGATCCTTTACGATCCAAAAAAAGTTGAAGAAGATCCTAGATTAACTATGGTCTTTAGCTTAGTTATATAATTATTTGCCGTGACATTTTAGGGTCCAAAAGAAAGTTATAAGTATGTCTTAGTTTAACTATTAAAAGACTTTGTCTTTGAGGCCTTTGGCTTAGTGTTTCAAAAAAATTACGAACTGCAAATTTTCAAGATCTGAAGTATTTAGGTCACAATTTTAGATCCTGAAAATCCAAAACTATTTATTTTGAAAAAATAATATTAAACATAAATATAATATTTCAAAAGCCATAACATAACATAAGAAGCTATGTTTAATGGTTAATATTGAATCAACCTAATCTAAGGGCCAAAAAATGAATTTTATTTTTTATTTTTAATTTTGATTTGAAATTTACATTAATTTAAATTTTGGATTGTAGCTTTAATTTTAGAGGAATGATCCTATAGGGCCCTCTCCCACCCATGTGTAGGGCCCTAAAGGATCACCATTCAATTTGACACGGATCTTTAAAAATGTCAAGTCCCACACCCATGTGATAACTTTTCTAGTGATCTGTGCTAAATTTAATGGTGATCGTTTGAGGTCCTACACACATGGGTAGGAGAGGGTTCTATAGGATCATTACTCTTAATTTTATAAGAGAATTAAAATCAATAAAACAAATTGAATAAATGTATGGTTTAAAATAAGAGAAAATTACATATATATCCATGATACTTTATATTATTACGGTTACACCTAATAGTTTATGTTATTACTCATCTATCCATTTTTTATATTTCATAACGCCTTTTTAAAAAAAGACACTTTTGCCCTTTTTTGGATGTTTAACATTCGAAAACGGGATTTAAAAAAAAAAAGGTTCACTTTTGAAATTTCGGGTGTTGAACATCCAAATAGAGCGGGATAGTGAGTAAACTTCGTCCGCTCTATTTTCTGCTTTTTTTTCATTATTTCATAGTGCATCTGTGTTTTTCTCATTCTTTGAGAGTGTGATTGATATTGTCTGCCTTATTGGTAAAGAATAGTGGTTAGTTTTTTTATTTTGATTTTCAACAATGTTCGTCTTTAGCAGGTGACATTTTTTGGATTTTGAAGCAATTTCACATTGTGAAGGTATGTGGGTCGATTTTTTATTTAAATTGCCATCTGAATTTTGGTTAGGGTTTATACTCAAGCATACTAATTATTTATTATGATTTTAGTATAGATTGAATTAATTTGTGGCTCCATTGTGATTGAATTAGATATTTCTAATTTGGGGGTTTTGAGAACTTGGAATTTTATAGTCTCTGTATAACTATAAATTACTTAAATTTGGGGGTTTATACTCTTATATAGTCTTAAGCACAAATTTGTGTTACATTTATTGATATTTTAGTAAATTATTGATTTTTGTAGTTGATAGATTGAGTAGCTTAGAAAATAAAATATGTATGTGATTTATGATTCAAGTGCATTTTTACTTTGAATATTTTGCAAAGTATTTAATGAGTGAATTTATTTGAATTATGATTTATGATTTATGATTCAAGTAACAATGACTACATTTATTTGAATATTTTGGATTTAATTTGTTACTTGTATTATACGTAGCATTGTTCTCTGTTATTTGTTTGAAATTGTTGCTTGACATAAAATTGAATTTTTTCTTTTTTGATGGAGTCGTTGTTCTATCTATAAATCGATTTCTTCGGTTTTTGATTGAACTGTGTGGTTTTTTAATAGATTGGTTACTGAGCTAACATGAATTCTTTGTTTTTTATGGAATGATTTAGCTGATTATGAAAGTTGGATTCTTGTCTTTACAATGAAATGATTTGTTGTTTATCAATGTCTAATTCCATTGAAATAATTTTGTTACTCATTAAAGTTGAATTCTTTAGTTTTTGGTCGAGGATGGTTACTTGGAAGGGGACTACTGTGTTTTTTTTTGTTTATCCATCTAGGGTTTGGTTATTGTTTAGCTGAGATCCACTGAATTGGATTTAGTATAGTATTTCACGTGGTTTTGAAATCGTTACTGATAAAAGAAGTGGATGAGGATTGTGCATATCTGGTTAACTAAGGGGTCTGTATAGTAGTTCTTCAAGTAGAGATATTAAATTGGATTTAAGAGCTGTAGTTAATTATTTAAGTTGTTTAGTGGTTTTTTAATAACTCTTTGAATTCTTTTTAGTTATCTGTTTGACTCAAAGAATCAATTCTTTATTTGGCCACCATATTCACTGATTGATTTCGATTTTCAAGTATATGATCCTTAGTTGGACTAGCATAGCAATTTCATTTTAACATTGTTCTTCTTTCATCAATAGATTGTAGCAATGTTCTTCTTCATCAATAGTATGCCATTATTATTTTTTTGTTATCCAACTAAGTTCTACATGTGTAGCCTTATGATTAACATGGTGACCATATGGGATTTCAGTGAATATGGATCGTTTACATCCCGATGGAGGATATCCAGGAGATCCTCAGGACCCTAGTTTGTTGCAACTTCATCTAGAACATTGCTCATATTTCATATGGGAAAGACATGTATATGCATATATTCATCTACCCATTCTATTTATTTGCTAATTTTCAATCAATGGCAGTTTCGTTCAAACATCCTATGGAAAGTACATGTATATATATTGATTTTAATTTTTTGTCTATTTGTTGTATTTCAGGAGAAAGAAGAAATTAGAATTGATGAGAAGTGTTATCAATTAACTGAATGAAAATTAGCAAGAGAACACGTTCAGTTAGTTCATGCTTCTGGGTTGGATCCGTTGGCTATCATTCGGCCAGGCGAAATTGATCATCTTTTGGTCGCAGCTAATATAGAGAGGTGGCGTTTTGAGACCAACACCTTTCATTTCAACATTCATAATGGTGAGATGACACCAACACTATTTGATGTGTACGAGATATTAGGACTGGCTGTGGATGGCGATCCAGTCACATATCGTCCTATCAAAGACCTGTGAAAGTTTATAGAAGATAAGTTGGCTATAGTCCCTGATGGCAACTTGGCAAGCCTGGGGCATACATGGCTTAAGGCGAATTTTAGGGAAATGCCACTTGATGCAAACCCAGTTCAAGGTTATAGATATACTCGAGCATATATGCTCTTCCTCATCAGTATAACCATATTCGCTGATGCATCAGTTTCAACATTGCCAACAAGGTACCTGCAATTTTTTGAAGATATTGAGGGTGTCAGCACATAAGTTTAGGGTGTTGCAGCCCTTGCATTCCTCTATCACTCACTTGGAAAAGCTTGCACTTTCAAGCGAAGACATTTTAGTGGTTCAGCCACTTTCATCCAGGTGACTATTTGTTTTGGTATATGACATAAGCGTAATAGTTTAGACTGCTTTCTTAATAAATTTAATATTTTATCATACTCAATTTATTGCCATGCTGATCATATGAGCATATTATGCATATGAGGCCCATACCACATAGTAGCCCTCCAAATATTCCTAGGGCCAAAAGATGGGAGCCACCGAAGAAATATCTTGGCAATCCACATAACTTAATGCCTCCCATCAGACAAGAAATTGATAACCTCCAACCTAATGAGGTTAGTGTATAGTTTGATTTTGATTTCTTTTAATAGTATTTAAGTATGTGTAATTATTTTTATTAACTAATTGCATATCATATAACAGATAATCTGGAATCCCTATTTCAACCCTGATGAGGTCATTTCAGATGATAGGCAGCAGGCATTTCAAACTGCAATGTGCCCTGCAACTTTGATATTTGATGATATTGCCGAGCCGTACATGCCAAACCGAGCATGTCGACAATTTGGAGCAAAAACAGGGCATTCCTAGGAATCCGTTGGTTGTTAGTATGAGGGAAAGCATACAAGTAGGACAGCGAGACTGACGAAACATCAACGCAGATAAAATCGCTAACTGGTTGTCTCACCTTGACCGCATCATGCCTGATATTCAACAAGATACTGACAATGGGTTGCCCTCAGAGAAGTACAAGACTTGATACAACTCGGTATCCTATCTTTTGATACATAATGTCGCTAACCCACCCAAAGACATATTGCAACCTCATATCCATGAAGAAGAAGAAGTGGTTCCTGCTCATGAACCACAGTATATAATGAGACCTCGAGGTTTATGAGGACCAGTTGGTACGTTTATATTGACCTATAAATTCTTATAGTATTTTATTTACCTATTAGTTCTATTCAATTGTTTAAATATGCTAATTATGTAATCTTGTTGTGCAGGTTAGTGCAGTTAAGGCATCTACAGTCAGGTTAGCAGAGACATTTACATTTAGACAGAAGTGGTACCCTGAAGTTATTAATCGCGCATTTGAAATGTTGTCTAAGTTTGTGCATGTAGATGTGGGTGGCGTAGAAGCCAGGATGGAGCATTTACAACGTCAATATAATGACGTAGTTGTACCTGACGAGACCGGAGATGATGGAGTGGGTCAAAGTAGACAGGTTGTAGAAGACCTAGCTCCATCCACACAACCTGCAGTTGAGGAACCCAGAAGATATAACACACGAAATAAACAGTATCAGCCTAAGAGAAGGCGAGGCGTGTAATGGGTCATTTTGTAATGGGTCATTTTGAGGATCCCAATTTTATAATAAGTCAGTTTGAGCGTCATATAGAACTAACATATTTTTTATGAAAAGTTA